GTGGGAGTGAGTTGTTTTTCTATAAATTAGATCTTGGCTCGATCTACCTCCATCCCTCTCTCAGAAAGCTAATGTCATAAAATTTGTCTCAACTAGTTCCCCATTTCACCTATATTATAGAGGAGCTAGAAAGATAGTGCTCATCTTTGGAGCTTAAGTGCTCAAACCACTCATCTAACAGGAGCATGAATAATAAAGGAGTTGGAAAGTAGGTGCTCCAAACTAGCGCCTATGCGGCTCAACTAAGAAACTCGATGCTCCAAACTGGCGCCTAAATGTCTGAAGAGAAATTTCCAATACACGTGAGATCGAGGAGGTGGAAACTCATCGCCCCAACTCCAACGTCTAGGCTGCACGATTTTGACGGAATTTGGTGATAAAATTCTTGCTTTCAAACAAGAAGGGGGCTTCAGTGCTACATTTGACTTATCTGTTTGTTGTGAGAGAGCAAAGGGAAGAGTGCGAGTGAGTGTTTTCTAGAGTGATTAGTGGGTGAATATCTATGTGTAAGTGCATGCAAGTGGATTTACATTATAAAAGGAAGAATGTTTGTGTAGCAAAGTAAGATTTAATTAGGTTTTTATCATTCTTACTTTATATAAATTTAATTTTTCCTTCTTTTCAGTAGAATTCTATGTTCATCTCTCGTGTTTGAGAACTAAAACATTCTCTCCTTTGGATCATTAATGTAAGAAACTTAGAGAAATTCATGTTATGTGAATTTTAAAATCTTATTGAAAATATTGATATGTTTAGCTGCACATATTAAATTTATTTTCAATTTGACCGTTTGGAATATTATACAATGTTTGAAAAATTAAGGTCAGTGGTAGATGCGTAAATACTTAAAGAATTGGGGGGCATAAACGTAAATTTTTATCTCTTTTTGGTGGACTTCTTACCCATTCTTCGTTTTCCAGAAGTCACCATGGATCCAATGGATCCAACGCACCTCTGACCTACGGAGTCTCCGCCTCCGTGGTTAGAATCAGCCTTCCAGGTCAAAAGGGCCATTTCTGCTTGAATTCACATTTATCGTTTCATCTCGGGGCTTTTTTTGGATCAACCGATTGAATTTGACGGCGTCTGGAGCAGTTCTGAGTGTCGAGGGTCGGAGAAGATGAGGAGGGTTTTTGGCGCGAAGAAGAACCAGGAACCCCCTCCTACCATCCAGGATGCCACCGAGAGGGTATTTGACTCTTTCCATAAGCATTATCGTTCTTTGAATGTTTGCATTTAAGATGTTTGCTATTTAGGATCAATCTGCATGGTTTGCTGGTTTCTTCTATCATTTTGTTTCGTTTTATGAGTATAGGAGATGGTCAATCTGTTCAGTATGAATTAGGGTTTTGAAATTCTGTAGGGATGTGATTATAGGTTTATTCTCCATTCATGACGTATTATGCTGTTACGCGTTACATTTCGATCAAGGCTCTGAAATTAAAATGTGGATATTTTTCAATTGGAGTTAGGGCTGGGACATATAAATGATTGCTGCTTTTTTCCTTTGGGTATTTTACATGCATACCACCCAATTCCTTTGTATTTGCAAATTTAACGCCTAAAATTTGATATTTACATTTATAATATTTTGGTATCAGAAATCTATGCATGGAAAGGCGTGTTTCTCTTATAAAAAGTAGGAAGATTTACATACATACCACTCAATTCCTATGTATTTACATATCTAACACTTAAATTTCAATTTTAACATATGTATCACCTTACCTATACATGAAAAAGGTGTATTTCACTTCTTGAAAGTTAAAATGGTGGTATCTTTTATTTGATATGAAAGACTTGGGTGGTATAAATGTAAAAAGTAAAATTCAGTTGTTAGGTATGTAAATACATAGGAATTGAGTGGTATGCATGTAAATCTTACTAGAAAGTATGAAATAGTGGTATTTTGATGTGAAATGAAAGAGTTTAGTATTATACATGTAAATATCATTTTCTTAATGGATTGTTTCCGACTTTAAAATATCATTTTTATGGGGCATTTACATGCATTCCACCTAATTCATATGTATTTACATATCTAACAACTAAACTTTACTTTTTTACATTTATATTACCCAAATCTTTCATATCATAGAAACAATACTATAAATTTAACTTTTAAAAAGTGAAATTTAACTTTTGATGCATAGTTAAGGTAACAACAACAACAACAACAACAAGCCTTTATCCCAATAAGTGGGGTTGGCTACATGAATTGTTTTTCTCCATTGTGTCCAATTGAGTGTCATATTTTCATTTAATTCTAATAGATTAAGATCTTTTTGTATACAATATGCCCAAGTCTTTTTAGGTCTACTTTTGTCTTTCTTAACATAAGTCGAATCTAAAACATCTACTCTCCTAACCAGATCATCAGATGACTGACATTTTATGTGACCAAACCATCTAAGAAGACTCTCTAATCTTCTTATCCGCAACTGGAGCTACACCAATACCAACCCTATCACAGATATATTTATTTTGCATTTCGTCTCTAAGTGTAAAGCCACTCATCCACTTAAGCACTCTCATCTTGTCCATCTCTGCAACACGCAACTTTGTTTTATGCTTCTCTTTTAAAGACCAACATTCTGCGCCATAGAGTATTGCTGGTCTCACCACCATCTTCTTATAAAATTTTTCTTAAAGTTTAAGTGGTTCTTTTTCATCACATAATAGGCCCAATGCATTCATCTACTTCAACCAACTAACTTTGATTCTGCTAATAGCATCCCCATCACTTTGAACAATAGACTCGAGATATTTAAAACGTTCACACCGTTTAATGATTTGATCACCCATAGTATTAGTTACAACTTTGTCATTAGAGTTACTACAAATAAAATTACATTTTATGTATTCAACTTTAGATCCACTTAAACGAAGACCTTTAGACTCTAATGTAGACTTCTATAATTCAATTTTTTCCTGAACTCTTTTTCTAGTCATATCCACAGGAAGGATATCATTAGTGAAAAACATAAACAAAGGTACATCATCCTGTAAATGTCCAGCAATATCATTTATAACTAAAGCAAAAGGATACAAGCTTAAAATTGATCCCTAATGTAATTTGACTGAAATGAGAAATTGTTGGTCAATTATTCTTCTGGTCAAACACAAGTAACGACTCTAGTATCCATATCTTTAATGACTTGAATATAAATCATATCAACATCTTTATTCTCTACAACTCTCCACATGACTTTTCTTCGAACCTTATCGAAGCTTTTTATAAATCAATAGAAATCATATGTTGATCCTCCTTACTCTCTCTGAACTTCTACACCAAACCTCTCAATAAATGTATAATTTCCATAGTAGACCCGCCCGACATAAATCGAAGGTGATTATGAGAAATTTTTGTATCGCATCTTAACCTATGCTCAATTACCCTCTATCATAATTTTGAAGTATGAAACATAAAATTAATTTCTCTATCTATTGTGCATCCCTTTTATTCATAAAAATGGGGACCAAAATACTCCTCTCCTCAGGCATCTTTTTAATTTTTAAAATATTATTAAAGAGTTTAGTAAGCCAAGAAACTTCCAAAGCTCCTAAATATTTCCACACTTCAATTGGGATATCATCAGATCCCACTGATTTTCCACCCTTGATTTTCTTTAAAGCCTCATCAACTTCTTTTTTACTAATGCAATGGTAAAAATAAATCATTTTATTATTATTAATGATATTAAAATCTCTAAGGTCGTATTTTCAGAAGCTTCATTGAAAATTTTATCAAAATAGCTCACCCACATATGTTTATCAAAACTTTATTGCACAGGTAAGGTGACATATATGTAAAATTAAGTTTGGGTGTTAGATATGTAAATACATATGGTATGTATGTAAATCTTCCTTTTTTCCTTAAAAAAATGGAGCACTTGGAAGATGCTAGATTTTTTTTCTATTGGCTTCTTAAATACTGATTTTATTCAATCACATCTGTGTTAAACAGTTATATTACGCATACAATAGTTTGCTAATGAATCTTATATTTGAGATTATAAAAATTATATTTCCTGCATTGCAAGTTTGGTCATTGCATAATAGAATTAGAATTAATTACTTCGACTCTTTATGAAATAGAAGAAAATGATATGGTGCTAAGTGCCCATAAAAGTTGAAGTGGTCCATGTTGTGTTATGTCTTCGATGAGATTAGGGAAAGCTAACACTAGAAATGGATGAGTAATATGCTTTAGCATTTCATCTTTGGGGCATTTACATACATACCACTCAATTCCTATGAATTTACATATCTTACACCAAAAGTTTGCTTTTTACATTAATACCACCCAATCTTTCATACCACATAAAAAATACAATCATTTTAGGTTTTTAAAAAGTTAAATACATCTTTCATGCGTAGTTAAGGGCATGTATATAAAAATTAAAATTTAGGTGTTAGATATGTAAATACATAGGAATGGAGTGGCATGTATGTAAATCTTCGTTCATACCCCACACAATTCTGTAAATCCGTTACCAGACAAACGCTTAGACTGTTTGGTAGCCCATGTTTGTAGTTCATTATTTTACAACGTTACTCATGGAGGTAGTTGTGCCATTGCTTGCTTTATTTGTAATTTTACATAGCTAGATACTGATTACATTATAAGTAGTGACTGATTTTGTATGATTATGAATTGCTACTTAACTAATTAAATAATTTGATTTTTGTCTAGATATTAAATAGTTGATCGACTCCTAATTGGTACTTAAAACTCGTAGATATGATTAATTTAATGTTATTAACATTTTAATAGTCTAGAGATATTTTGTTATGATAGGCAGCTTATATGGCATTGTTTTGACCAATTATTATCAGTGATTATATCAATTAACTAAATAACATAAACTAGCTAATTTACTCTATTAAAATATTTCTTATAAGAACTTTGAGGACTCCAGGATTAGGAAATTTGAATTTCATGTCTGATATTTTTAGTGCCCAAATTCTTGGCGTTAGAATAAAGTGACCCGGGCTACTTGATATGTTATGTTATATAGTTTAGTTATATATATATATATATATATATAATTTTTTTTTTTTTTGAAAAAGCCTCAGGGCTAATATATTAAAAAAGAAAAGATACATATAGGTTGTATGAGAGGGCTCAAAAAAGACACCCTACCCACACGGTACAACACATATAAATGTCCCAAAAAAAAAAGATACATGTAAACCCAAAAAACCAAAACTGTCAAATCACAGGATCAAGTAGCTAGGGAACGACCCAATTTAGTTTTGCCTCTGCCTCTAGTTCTAAGAAGGGAGCTAGCTAACAAATTGTTGAGTTTTGTGTCATTAGGAGCATGCCGAGAAAAAAAAGGATGGTCCCCTATGCAATTCTTTCCGTTCCGGAAAGAATTCAAGTACCTTAGCCCCCATCATGGTGAACCTCTCCTTGTGATCGGGATGAGGTAGATGCCTCCCAGCCGGGGAGCTGATCGAATCGGAGTTTCCTTAGGTAGCCACCGACCTACAGTTATCCTGAAACTTTCCGTGCTTGGTGGAGAAGAAGCGAACAAAGGTATGCTTGCTTGCTGTCTTGTTCTCTGCCGCAGACTGGGATCGCTCGCCAGCTAGGCCTTATAGAATAAAATTCGAGCAACATTGTCTGAGAACATATTACCCATCTTCGGGGACAAGGGACGGAACGACCTCTCGATCTACTTACTTACTGTAGCCCAGGACGGGTGTCATCGTCTAGGCATTCCCTGTTGCTCTGATCTCCCCTACGCCTAGGACGTTGTCTGGGCCAAGAGCCATAGTTAGTTGCTGTACTTCTACTTAGCAGCCCAAATAAAGTATCTCTGCTTCCTCAAAGGCTTATACACAAGCTACCCAAACTAGTATACACACATTTGCCCGATTGCTTTAATAGAATTGCCTCCTAGTTTCCACTTGTTCTGTCCAAAACTATGGAATTCATCTGAAAAGTCGATTTTCTAGATCAGAACGTCAACTCTGAGAATAAGGGTATACAAGTGAACCACCTAGAATTGATTCATGACCGCTAAACAAAAGGAGTCCTTTACCAAGTAAGCTAGGCCACCGTCTTTACCCGCCTCAACCAATCTTAGCTCGGACATGCCAACAGCCAATACTTACTCCTTTCCCTGGGACAGCTAATCAAAACGAATACGGCTTTAATCCCTTATCTTTGAGACTACC